TATACACCAGCACCTCTGTTACTTGGTTCCTTGTGTCGAGGCCTTGTAATGTCACGAATGAGTTTTGCTGTTACGTTTGCTGCTTTAGTATTTTTATTCTCCAGTGTCTAGGTGAACAGATTTGCTGTGTTTCCTGTTGGAAAAGATAAGGTGGCTGTCTAAGTTGTCTTCTTCAGGAGTAAAAGAATTTCTGGCCCTCTGTCTGCAGTTTCAGATGAACTGTGTAGGAAATTGTATAGCGGAAATGTTGCTATAAATTATGTCACATTTCTTTTCCAAAAAATCAGAGCTGAAAACTCTGTAAGATCTGTAAAATAAATAAATCAAGACCTCACGTTTGGTCTTTCTTCTTGATAAGGAAAGTATAAAAGATCGATTTCATTAGAGATTTATTGTAAAACTACAATTCCAGCTGTTAATCTAAGAGCCTGTAAATAAAATGATGTAGGATAACACCTCATAGCCTGTAAATGGGCTCAGGAAGACTAACAGCTCTCAGCTTGTAAATGAGCTAAAACAGTATAACACCTTCCACCCAGTATACTTAACAAAAAAAGAAGCTCCACAGATGAAGTGTGAAAGGAAGAAGGTGGAAGGGGGGGGGGAAGGTTACTGAATAACAGTGATTCTCTTACATAAAGTCAGTGAATGTGGTACACCTGAAAACGTACAATAAAAAAAAAATAGTTGAAAATGCGACGACCCGTCCAAGAGGTAAGTAGAGGCAGTGAACCCCGAGTCAACAGAGAATAATACAGGTAAACTCAGCTAAAACAAAGCAATAAATGGCTTTGAGAGAGCAGAAAGCGTCGTGGTCCGGAAGGGCAAAGGAACTCATTCGTCCTGGTAAACGCAATTACGAGACGTAAATCGCTGAAAATAACAAAGCAAATCGAGAATTCGTAATTACGAGAGAAACGAATTGAGTTCTCCATCAAAGGTCGTCTCGATGAATGCCATAAACATCATGTTGTTTCTCGGTGACATAACTGACCCTATGTGTTTGTCAGGTTTGAAGACTGTCGACTACACGACGGTCGTTTTAAGGTTGTATTTCATCTTTACACTGCCAGTCAACAGTGTGTATATATACAGATAGAGAGATGTATGTATATTTCTGTGTTAAATACTCTGAGAGTTTACCTTTAATCCAAATTTTATTGATTAAAATATTACTGGCTGATACAGTCAATAGGTTTTTAAACATAATAAAGCAACCAACCACCGATTAAGGACACTAATAAATATAACAAGCACTGAAAAATTTTCAGCGTATATATAGACACACACACACACACACACACACACACACACACACACACACACACACACACACACACACACACACACACACACACGCTGCAGCATATGGGCGCCTGGCAAACCTGAGAACAGCATTCCGATACCTTAGTAAGGAATCATTCAAGGCACTGTACACCGTGTATGTCAGGCCCATACTGGAGTATGCAGCACCTGTTTGGAACCCGCACTTGATAAAGCACGTCAAGAAACTAGAGAAAGTACAAAGGTTTGCGACAAGGTTAGTTCCAGAGCTAAGGGGAATGTCCTATGAGGAAAGATTAAGGGAAATCGGCCTGACCACACTGGAGGACAGGAGGGTCAGGGGAGACATGATAACGACATATAAAATACTGCGTGGAATAGACAAGGTGGACAAAGACAGGATGTTCCAGGGAGGGGACACAGAAACAAGAGGCCACAATTGGAAGTTGAAGACACAAATGAGTCAGAGAGATAGTAGGAAGTATTTCTTCAGTCATAGAGTTGTAAGGCAGTGGAATAGCCTAGAAAATGACGTAGTGGAGGCAGGAACCATACACAGTTTTAAGACGAGGTTTGATAAAGCTCATGGAGCGGGCAGAGAGAGGGCCTAGTAGCAACCGGTGAAGAGGCGGGGCCAGGAGCTAGGACTCGACCCCTGCAACCACAAATAGGTGAGTACAAATAGGTGAGTAACACACACACACACACACACACATACACACACACACACACACACACACACACACACACACACACACACACACACACACACATACACACACACACACACCTCCGTGTATAAATATACACACAGTTGTGTACATACCAGTTTATAATCATAATGTGCATTTACATACCTCTTTGTATATACACACACTTCGGTGTATATACATCCCGTGTATATTCACACCTCCGTGTATGTATATATACACACCTTCATGTATACACACTGTTTATATTCAAATACATCAGAATCTTTTGTATTTAAAATTTATTAGTATAATTTTGCAGCACCATTAATTATCAGTGACGTCATCTTCTATACACACATTTATATTAAGGATGTATTTACAGCGTTTTATGAAACATTACTGAAGAATTGACAGGAATGATAAGTAATAAAGCCGAGGCTGGAACAATAATGTTCACAGTATCGAAACTGGAACAAAAAAAGTCACACTTCAATGACTGGAACAGTGAAAGTCACATTTTAGTGACTGGAACAGTGAAAGTCACACTTCAGTGACTGGAACAGTGAAAGTCACACTTCAGTGGCTGGAACAGTGAAAGTCACACTTCAGTGGCTGGAACAGTGAAAGTCACACTTCAGTGACTGGAACAGTGAAAGTCACACTTCAGTGACTGGAACAGTGAAAGTCACACTTCAGTGACTGGAACAGTGAAAGTCACACTTCAGTGACTGGAACAGTGAAAGTCACACTTCAGTGACTGGAACAGTGAAAGTCACACTTCAGTGACTGGAACAGTGAAAGTCACACTTCAATAGCTTGAACGGTAAAAAAAAAAAAGTCACAATGCCGTGACTGGAACAATAAGTCGCAATATCGTCGCTGGAACAAAGAAAAACACTGGGAACAATTCCAGAGTATGCTGTTTTATCTGGTTAAAAGTATTATACACCTAAGAAAAGAGTTCCTTAAAATCTAAGTACATTGAGTATTCTTGTATACATTGTTATTAACCCCCCCAATTCAAGACTCAGTATTGAATATTATCCCATACAGCGAATATGACCACGCTATATTGAATATTACTCCATACAGTGAATATTACCACGCTATATTGAATATTACTCCATACAGTGAATATTACCACGCTATATTGAATATTACTCCCTACAGTGATTACCACGCTATATTGAATATTACTCCATACAGTGAATATTACCACGCTATATTGAATATTATCCATCAGTATTACCACGTGAATATTACCAGCTATATTAGAATGATTACTCCCATACAGTGAATTACCACGCTATATTGAATATTATTCCATACAGTGAATATTACCACGCTATATTGAATATTACTTCATACAGTGAATATTACCACGCTATATTGAATATTACTCCATACAGTGAATATTACCACGCTATATTGAATATTACTCCATACAGTGAATAATTACCCAACTATATTGAATATTACTCCCTACAGTGATTACCACGCTATATTGAATATTACTCCATACAGTGAATATTACCACGCTATATTGAATATTACTCCATACAGTGAATATTACCACGCTATATTGAATATTACTCCATACAGTGAATATTACCACGCTATATTGAATATTATTCCCATACAGTGAATATTACCACGCTATATTGAATATTACTCCATACAGTGAATATTACCACGCTATATTGAATATTACTCCATACAGTGAATATTACCACGCTATATTGAATATTACTCCATACAGTGAATATTACCACGCTATATTGAATATTACTCCCTACAGTGATTACCACGCTATATTGAATATTACTCCCTACAGTGAACATTACCATGCTATATTGAATATTACCCCCTACAATGAATATTACCACGCTATATTGAATATTACCCCCTACAGTGAACATTACCACGCTATATTGAATATTACCCCCTACAATGAATATTACCACGCTATATTGAATATTACCCCCTACAGTGAACATTACCACGCTATATTGAATATTACCCCCAAACAATGAATATTACCACGCTATATTGAATATTACCCCCTACAGTGAACATTACCACGCTATATTGAATATTACTCCATACAGTGAATATCACCACGCTATATTGAATATTACCCCCTACAATGAATATTGCCACGCTATATTGAATATTACTCCATACAGTGAATATTACCACGCTATATTGAATATTACTCCATACAGTGAATATTACCACGCTATATTGAATATTACCAACTTAATGAAACCAAAATTAAATATTGTCTGATGGGGATTGGTGAAGAGGTATCAAAATATTCCTTTTGTATGTTAGTGAATATTACCTTACCTTGTGTATGTACACGTGTTAGAAGCCTGGTCTTGTGTGTACTCATTTTAGGGGATCTTGTGTGTACACATCAGAGGATCTTGTCTTGTGTGTACACATGTTAAAGACTTGTCTTGTGTGTACACGTGTCAGAGAATGCTATCTTATTTCGTTTGTACGTGTAGAGCTTTATCAAAGATCTTCACAGAGCGAAACGTCGTCCCAATAAACGCTTGTCACCTGTCTTCGAAGACTGTTACACCACCAGACACACAACAAGAATTAACACAACATAAGATTTACTCAGGTTCACTACACACGGTTTCAGAGACCACTGAACAATGGCCGCACAAAACATAAGGTTGTAATAAATATATATTTCAGGAACGAGTTGAGGTTTGAACCCTTGGCAACTGAGTCCTAAAACTGGATCGTTTGTTACGATTTCGTGAGTCGTTAACATGCATTGGTGGTAAATTTTGTGGATTTCACCGAGGATACCACAAGGAAAGTCACTGTTGATCATTTCCATTGGGATCCTAAAGTATATATATTGTATAAAGATGTAAAATCTAGTACTTACAGGTACTCCGTGCTGTACTTCTGTAGTAACCATCTGTTAAACGGGCCTAGTAATGCCAAGAAGATGAAATAGGCCACTTACGTAATAAATAATTAGGTGAAAAAGAAATGATATATATTTAACATATTTTTATTCTAAATTCAAAGTTAAAGCTCAGTAGGCTTAATTTATTAGTAGCAAAAGTTATTATTGTTATTTATTAATATTGTTACATGGGGGTCATACAATACTTGGGATTTTCAGGTAGTCTGTTTTGAATCGAGAGAGGGAATGATAGCTCCTTATTTTTGGAGGTTATGAGACCTTCACTACCACTAAGAATACGTCTACAATATATCACCATTTAACCGGACTCAAGTTTGTTAATCCACAGGCGGACTCTCATTCCAAGTGGATTATGTTAAAAAAGATAATTTATGGATGATAACTGCAAAGTAATTACAGCAATGAACTTGGTAATAGCCACCCCCTACGGTGTGTCAAAGACGGGAGGATCTAATAGCCTAGTGTTTGGCAGAGGCAGGGAGGTATCACACACAGAGGGTGTGACAGGAAACAGGGTGTCAGTTAGCCTCAGCCTAAGGCTTGGCAGAGTTTGGAAGGGACAGATGAGGTCGTGCGGTGGTGATGTAGCAGGTGTCGTAGACCCACTCCGGCAGGTGGGTGGCCACAAAGATCCTGATTCTGGTGGTCACATCCATGGGCAGGTATCGAGCACGAGGGTACTTCTGCGTCAGGGCCGCCGTCATTGCTTCCACCACGTCGTTCACGTCACGCGTCTGTAGTAAAGATGGTGGTAGAGAGATGGTGGTTTTAGTGGCAGTGATGGTGAAAATAAGCTCTCTTTCATAGATTATAGCGGGATTTTTTGTAAATGCGATTAAAAAACATCCAAAATTGAAAAGCGCGTGGAAGGGCATTCATGGAATATATTATTAAATTCTAGAGGAACTTCTTCAATCGCATTTAGAAAAAGAAAACGTACAGAGGTTTTGTAAGAGAGCTTACATATGTAAAAAGGCTTTAAGGGCTACATGTGTTTTACATTGCCTTTACACACTAGGTAACGTGTCTTCCTGGATCACAGTAACTCAAACTAACGTCGTTCCATTCTAATGAAACTACGTCAGTTTGAGTTACTGCGGTAGCTGATGTCTGTTTTGGAATGAAGATGTACTCAGCAGAGAGAGGCCGCCACTCACCCCAGCATTGGTGTAAGACATCATGAGATTCACTTGACTGTCGAAGTAACTTCTGGGAAAGTCCTGCTGGACTTCCTCAGTCATGGCTGTCCACATGACCTGTGCTTGCTGTCTCACGCTCTCGTCCGTGAAGATGTTGGTGGCTGCCACGTACGAAATAGTGGTATTAGATAATTGTTAAAGGGCGCGGGGTTAGAGGGCTGGTGTTATTGGATAGCTGGTAGTGAGAGGTAATAAGGGGACGGGTGTTACTGGACAGTTACTGGTGAGAGGTGGTTAGGGAACGGGTGTTAGTAGATAGCTGTTTAGTAAGTGGCGGGTAGAGAACGGGTGGTAGCAAACGGTAGGTGGTGATGAGGGAGGCGGTAAGGGCACGGAAGTTAGGAGATAGTTACTGACACGGTGAAGTCATTGAAAAAACTGCAAGACATAACGGACATCTGTGCTCAAGAAATGCAGAAAACTTACTGAAAGATTCACCCCAACCTAAAAAGAAAGGGAATAAGTATATTAACAACCCTAGTTAAAAAAAAAATTAAGGAAAAAAAATGAGAGCATGGGAAAATGGGTGAACAAAGGGAAACAGGAGCAAACCAAAAAAAAAAGCACATAATGGCCAGAAAACTGAAAAGGAAATAGCGTAGAGAATAAGACAATATATATTCCAAACTGTACTTCAAAAATTGCACCAAAAATTGTATTGTAAATGATCAGG